ATATATCGTCACAAACAGAATTGCCCGGTAAACCGTAGGTAGAGAGAGAGAAGAGGACAACAAACGAGGGGCTGTGACAAACTGTTTCGTCGAAGTTTCACCGACTCATCAGGAGGCGGAGGGCCAGTTGCATGAGTCAGATAGTGAAAGCCAAAGGGAGGGGTGCTTCACATAGATGAATATTCACAGATGAACATTCTGAAAGCGAGAAAAATTAAGTGGTTTTTCGGGTTTAAATTCATGTTTGTACGTGATGAATCATAACTTGCAATTGTGAAAGCTTGGGGTAGAAGATCTTATTCATGTTTTTTTTTTTTTTTTTTTTTTTTTTTCGTGAACAATCCTGAAGGGGTGAATGCCGTGAAGGCCTGAAAGCACCACCCCCCACCCTATGGCTCTCACTGTTAAGCGCTGAGGATCCTGAACGATTCTGAAGAGGTGAATGCCTTCGGTGGTCTGAAAGCAGGAAGTCAAAGGCCTTGAAAGCGGGGGTTGCTTTCAGGCCGTTCAGGGCATTCACCCCTTCAGGATTGTTCGTAATCTTCATGATTTTGTTTCATTATTATTTTTTTTTCGGTGAACCATCATGAAGGGGTGAAAGCCCTGAAGGACTGAAAGCACCCCCCCCACCCTATGACTCCCACTGTTAAGCGCTGAGGATCCTGAACGATCCTGAAGAGGTGAATGCCTTCGGTGGTCTGAAAGCAGGGAGTCGAAAGGAGGTGCGAGAGTTTTTAAGGCCTTCACCCCTTCATGATAGTGAGAGCTAAAATGGGGGTTGCTTTCAGGTCGTTCAGGGCATTCACCCTTTCATGATTGTTCGTAATCTTCATGATTTTTTTTATTTTTTTTTTCCGATAAACCATCATGAAAGGGTGAATGCCCTGAAGACCTGAAAGCCCCCCCCCCCACCCTATGGCTCCTACTGTTAAGCGCTGAGGATCCTGAACGATCCTGAAGAGGTGAATGTCTTCGCTGACCTAAAAGCAGGGAGTCGAAAGGAGGTATGAGGGCTTTTAAGGTCTTCACCCCTTCATGATAGTGAGAGCTAAAGGGGGGTTTGCTCTCAGGACGTTCAGGGCATTCACCCCTTCAGGATTGTTCGTAGTCTTCATGATGTTTTTTTTTTTTTTTTTTTTTTTTTTTTTTTTTTTTTTTTTTTTCGTGAACCATCCTGAAGGGGTGAATGCCCTGAAGGCCTGAAAGCACCCCCTCCCACCCTATGGTTCCCATTGTTAAGCGTTAAGGATCCTGAACGATCATGAAGAGGTGAATGCCTTCGTTGGTCTGAAAATAGGGAATCGAAAGGAGGTGCGATGACTTTCAAAACCTTCACCCCTTTATGATAGTGAGAGTCAAAAGGGGGGTTGCTTTGAGGCCGCTCAGAGCATTCACCCCTTCAGGATTGTTCATGGTCTTCATAATGGGTTTTTTTTTTTTTTTTTTTTTTTTTAA